TGGTTGGCAGGAGCCCTGGTATGGTTTGATCCTTCGTTCCTATCAAACATCTATCATCCTGATCTCTCCTCCTTTTTGTGTAAGTTATACTGTTGATCTTCGGCATTTACATGACCCGTTTGTTTTGCAAGTGCCGTAAAACACTTACTAAGTGGGTGGTTTGCGGGTGCTCTGATGTGGTTTGCTTTCCTATCAAACAATTATTGTCTTTATCTCACCTCTTTCTATTTTATGCTTGTTACTATCTTGAAACACTTCTAATCTTCGGCATTGATATGACCTTATTGTGTTGCAAGTGCCGCAAAACTCTTACTAAAACCTTTAAAAGACGTGTGAAAACAACTTTTAAAAACAGAAACTAAGGTACATACGACGTTTGACCACAGCGGGGAACAAACTGCGAGCATCGCCCTCAGTTGTCCTCGCTAATCGCCACATCCCCCCAGCCCTCGTCAAATTTGAGCCCCCGTCCTCGGCCGTTTCACACAGCCGGAGCGGAGATTTCGGACACATTGCGAAACGTGACGGCCGGGTGGACGGTTTGCTTGTACAGTCGTCGCTCGTCTGCTGACTGAAAACACATGTTTCAATATGGGAACAAGGTGGGGGCCCCCGGAGTTTGGCTAACAATCGCTGCACGGCTGCTGCTGTCGTCGCCGCGCTCAGGGGATGTTTTATGGAAATGTCTGTGGAGACTCGTTATGTCGTGGTTCAATGTGGGAACAAGATGGGGGTCATTATCGAAATGTCTTTGGAAACTCGTTGCGATATTTTAAGAGAAATATTTTTTGGTAGGTGTTTTACGGCGCTCGCAACTACAAAAGGTCATAATAATATGAGCTCGTGGGACACACCAAACATTTTCAGGAAATTTTGAATTTTGCCCGGGTGGTGGCCGAAGCCTACTCTTATCGATTTTAGAACACCAAGGGATCTTTAACTTGCGCAACTTGCACACAGGACCTCCGAGATTTTTCACCCTTGTCTGAGAAGGCTAGATGT